AGTGAAAGCAAGTTTGAAAAGAAAAGTGTTTTTCATTAAGCAATTTGTTATCAAAGACCTCCAATTTATACTTTGAAAATAGTTAAATATCTTAACAATAGTGTAAGTATTGAATATCTAAGATATCGTTTACTTTAGATTTTAAAAATATAAGATATGATAAAAATGAGGCATCCATTCTCTATCCATCTTGAATAGAAACGTCTCTCCTGAGAGAGAAGATTTGGGTTTTGATAGTCGCCATGCTTATTGTTGAAAGGATATTCTTCTCCACCCATTCTGTTGCTGATATTTGACCATTTCTGACGAATGAACTGTTCTTGATATAAAAATTAACTTACACGGACAGAAATATAAAACAGCGAAAAATCTCTCAGCTTTTGTGACAGAATGCTACGGAGGGGGTAACGTAATTATAACCACCTATATCACGTGATTCGCGCATGAGCAGAACGGTATTAGATGTGCAATAATATAGGAGAGGACTAATTTAAAATATGATAAACAGTGAAACAAAATATTGTTTCTTTTATGGAAGTTATTCAATTAGTTCGCGAACTTCTTTATCACCCCTCGTGTAGCCCTTTCATGGGGTCGATCCATAAATATATCGACGTCACAGAAAAGCATATCGACCAAGCAAGCAAGGTCGATGTGCTTTTCTGTGACGTCGATATATGGTTAGATCTCATGAATGGGCTATATGCATTTGTTATGCAATATTTTTGACGGAAATCAACAAAATTTAATTTTAAAAAGATATGAATAATGCATAAGATGCCTCTGACATCATTTTTACTACATACCAAGTATAACAAAAATAAGCTGTTTATCCTAATTGTGTTTCCTTTTTTCTACTAGACTAATTTTGGGAATGTAATAAAGTGAAAGACGTTTTTGAAAATTTAATATAAGAGTATATTCTTATTTAAGTCATTGTTACACCCAACCAATTATTACAGAATATCATTATAATAAAAAAAAATTGCCCGAAGCATGAAGCTTTATTAACTTTTAGTATTGTGAAACACTTTTGCTATTTTACCTTTGTAGAAACATCAAGTCGATATGATTTTCAGAACCTATAAATAATAACACAAGTCTTTATGTAGTTAAATATTTGATAAAGTGGTCAAGTTTAAATCAACCAGAAAGCTTTGAGAATATACAGAAATAACATTTTAAATAGATTTAATTTTTATTTTAGAAAATGCCGAAACTGCATTTTGTCGGTAAGGAAAATGTAACATCCTACTTCAAGTTTGAAACCACAAAGGAATCCTTCAACTTTGATAACCTTGGCAATATTACTGGTCCCCTGGAACATTTTGAAAATAATTTCCCAGCAGAAATTATTATTTGTGTTGCTTTACTTGGAGTAATCATTTTTCTTATTACGGTGATTTGGTTCAAAAGGCAAAGAGAAAAACACAACCAACGTAAAAGAGAAAACAGTCTAGAAATGCATGAAATAGAAAATTTTGGAGAAGAAAACAATTACGAAAGAAATCCACCTGACGATGACAACGGAAACATAGCGGAAGAGGGAAATTTTGTGACTTAAGAAAATCTTAAAAACAGCATAATAAAACTTATGAATTTTAAAAGAAAAGAGTGAGTAGATGAAAAATGAATGGATGACAATGAAAAATGACATCAAAATCAGCTTATTCCCAAGAAGCAATGGTAGAAACTGGTGCATCATGAGCCCCTTTCATCCACTAAATAGAGCTGGGAGTCGCAAGAACATAGAATCAAAATCCGAAATAGGTTGAAATAAAAAAAAGTATAAGAAGGAATTGGAATTATCGGGAAACATTATTAGTATAACAAGTTCGTTATTCATTTAGGCATATTATTATGTTTGCTTTTAATTGTTTTCTCTTTTTTAGAATTCTTCTGTAAATAAAATTTTTAGGTATATGACACATATTTTCATGTAAAATGTGTCTTGTATGGCACGTAGAAATCAATATTTAAGGCTTTTAACAAGGCCCAATCTCTTTGATTTGCACATACATTTTTACGCAGCGTAGTTTCAAACACGGCACAGTACCCTTGATTGCCATCACAATTGAATACAATAACGTCACAGTTAAATTGACACCAAATTGTGCTGAAAACATGTGCTATTCTTCATCCCTGTTATAGGTCCTCTGGACTGTACATGTTGAAAGGTTGATCATTGTGGCATTTCTCTTAATTTCCATGTTTTAATGAATAAATGTTTCAATTATAACAACTTTGTAACATAAATTACATAATGTATATCGACGTATCAATTTCTAAGTACAGATTCATCAGATTTATCTTGTTTATTTCACTTGTTGAGTTTAAACAAGAGGTCCACGGGCCTTATAGGTCACCTGAATATTGTGTAACAACTTTCAAACAATTAAATTTGGTTCGTGTTTTAAACCAGAGGCCAGGAAATTCACAATTTGCAATTTTGAAAGAAGCACCATTGCTTATCATAATTATTAACTAAGCATGCTTTATAACTCTATTAACTTAAAACCCAGAGGTAGATCAGAGTAACAAAGAGAAAATGCACTTCCACTTTATACCCAGTTGTGAACCTCACCACAAAGGAACCGCTGACCCAGGGCCCACATATTTCAAAATTTTGCAAATTTTATCATAAAATGGTTGATAAATACCAAAGAGCAGATTTCAAAACATTAATTTATTTTCAGACTACGTCAACATCCCCCCCCCCTCTGACCCAGGGTGCATTAAAAAAACACTTTGCTAATTGCACCTTTCTTCATCATAAATATATATACTTGGATCATTGGCTTAAAACCCATATACAAAGGAAAATATTTTAAAAAAATCAATGTATTTTTATTTTATAATCAAAAGGGCCCCATCTTAACGCCAGAACCCCTAATCCTGGGGCCATAAAATTCTCAATTTTGAAAGAAGCACTCTTGTTCATCAGAACTATGTACTTAGTTAGTTTTTTAGTACCCAGGAGCAGAGAACAATATTTTCAAAAAATAATGCATTTTCACTATATAATCTATATAGCCCCGCCCTAGCACTAGAACCTCTGATCCTGGGGCCATGAATTTTACAATTTTGGTAGAGAACTCAATGCTCATTACATTCATGTAAACAGTTTGCCTGCTTGATGTCCAGGAGTAAAGAAGAAGATTTTTAAAGATTGCAATAATTTTATTGGTCTTGGCCCCACCCCTCAGGCCCCAGGGGGCGGGGACCATGAAATCCACAATTTTTGTTCCCCTTCAACCATAAATGCTGTATATCAATTTCGGTTGAAATTGGTTCAGTGGTTTCAGGGAAGAAGCTGAAAATGTTCAAATGTTAACACACGACACACGGCGCACGACGGACGACGACGGACGAAAATGGATAGCAATAGGTCACCTGTGTTACTCAGGTAACCTAAAAATCAATGCAACCAAAATAAAATGACAAACAATCAATCAATCAGTGGCTAAATCGAATTACAGTGAGAATGAAACTGAATATTGTTATGCAATAATTGATGTATCTTACTGTTGAGGGTCACACGAAAAGGTTTTTATAGACTTTTTTTAAACCTTTGCACTGACAGCTCTTCTTAGCGCTTGTTTATCCATAATTTATAATATGACCTCAAAACCTAGAGGAATCCCCCTTAAAGTTTATAATACACCTTTCTGAAACCTAGGGAAATCCCCTCATAGTTTGTTTTACGACTTCCAAAAATCTAAGGGAATCCCCCTTAAAGTTTATAGTACGCCTTTGTAAAACTTCGGGAAATCTCCCTTTAGTTTATTAAACGGCTTCGTAAAAATCAGGAAATCTCCCTTTAACTTTATGATACACCTTTGTAAAAAACTAGGGAAATACCCTTAAAGTGTATAACACGTTTCCGTTAACCTTGAAAAACCCCTTACATTTCCAAACGCGTTACTATCTTCATATGCAAATTCAGTCTACGTACATTACGGATAGTATTATAAGGCCAATAAGTGTTAAATGTTAAATTGTATTTCAATAAATACATATAAACATAGAAAACAATTATAAATCATAAACATGAGATAAGTTGAACAAAACATACGTTATTTCTAACTTTTGAAAAGAAACCTTTGAGAATTACTTTAAAAGTTGTTCATCAAATGTTAACAGGGTAAGCCAGGATATCCTGTGGTGGTGATTACTAGTGAAAAATACTATTCCCAGATAATTCACTCTAAATTTGCTGCTGTTATCAAAGTAAGTGCATAAATGCCTAATCTAAACGCTAAAATTCAGTATAAATTTTTAATGAGTATCGTCCCTGTATAGCATTTTATTTGATTATTTGGGTAAGGATTAGTTAACGATACAGTTTTGTGTTGTCCCCTTGAAAACTCGTAGACATGCCTAAGGAAGCATGAAACGTGCTAAAAGCAAAACCATGAGTGCAAGCGTGTGAGTACATTGTACATTTCAAAGGCATTATTTGAATGATGGAAAGACGAGAAAAACGATGAGATACCGGGTTTTGTGTAAAGTATTGATCTAAGAACTTTCAAAAAACTTTAGTAAGATCATGGGGTAGAGTTAAGCTACTTAACTAGAGAAGAGTTATTCTTTACACAATTACTTTTTGATTTTCTGATGAAGTGGTTCTTACCATTACTTTAACCTATCATTTGTCATGCTTGACATGTCTTTCTTGATTTTGGTTCAATCGAAGGGTACTGCGGCAAGGTCTAGTTGAAATTGTATTATGTACATGTAGTTACTCTTGAATGGCATTAAATGTGAAAATATTTGTTATCGAGTTGAGATAAGCAGACATACAGACAGACGGGCACAGGACGTTTGCTTATATACGCAGACGGGTCCAGTATTTCTCTCCTAGTATTTTCTCAAGAATCGAGACTGAATATTAAAATTACTGTCAATTTCTGATTTTAAACAGTTGTTTGCAGACCAACTCACAGATACACGACTTCAAATAAAGCAATTTCATCAATAATCATTTTTATTGTCATTTCACAAGCATAATTCATTTCAATAAAATAAAAAAAGAAACACATAAATTTGATTTAATTTGCAAGTCCTTAATGTACACAACCATCTAAATGAACCTCATTAAAATTGATAACTTTTGTAAAGGCAAGGAATACAAATCACAGTTTTGCCAATGACAATCTCAATATGAAATTAAATTTCAATGCAGTTGAGTTACTAATTTAACTACAGTTCATAGGATAACCATTAAAACAATTTGTCTAAATTAACAATGAAATACAGATATAACATTCATATCTTTATTCCCCGTAAATATATTATGTTTTAAGGGTGTACAGTATTTGTCAGATATGATTTTTGAACAATTAAGGGTTTTGTATATTAACGTGGTAATTTAATCAAATAAGGAGAAGTTATTTCCGACAAGGCCGGTAATACACATTAACAGTACCTCAATCCCTCTCTTCGTCGTAGTTTTGTGTCTTCACAATGTATGTAAAATAGTCATTGGCTCTTTGCATTATTTCTCTAAGGTTATTCAAGGTAAGAAAATCTCTTTTCAAGTCGGGATTTTTTTCTGTGCAGTAGTTGGATTGTACAAGAATATTTCTCTCATCGAGATTAGTAAAGCTAGCCACATTCCCGAGAAAAGACTTTAAGTAATCGCTATAAAAAACAACCTCCAAATTGTTCTTGAAATTAACATGCATCCTGTCTACCTTATTAACTAGGACAAGCTGTGGCACATCTGAAAAAAAATCATTTAAGCATTGTAAATGGTATACTAACAGTTCGTTGTCTTGAAAGTAAAGTTTTTGTTGACTCATTCGACTTTTAACCACGTGTAAGATGCATTGTAATGGAACACAGATACATGTTGTAACATTACTTTAAAGCAAAATGAGCTGCAACTTTGATGTCCTAATTTTTGTTGCAAAAATGTAAATAGTTATTTCAAAGATGCTAAAGAGAAAAAAATAACGTTAATAAACTTTTTTTGTTCATATCTGCGATAGAAAATCTATTTATAAGCTTCGGTTGAATCAAAATTATATTATTGTCCTGTACAATAATAATTTCCTCATATAAAACTGTATATCGGATTGTATATAGAAGTCTTTCTTCTACTTTATTTTAGTCTAATTAATCATAAAGGTTTAAGTTACATACAAATTTAACATAATAACACATTTCAACATTAAAGTAAATTTTTAAATATGCAGCTCATATTGCTTGAAGTTGTATATAAATGAACATAATCAGAGCTCTTTCTCAGGCGAGTCTAAAGTGTCTTTGCTTGTTTTGTTAGAATGGCTCTTGCATAAAATAATTGATTTGGCGTTTAATCATTTTTATTGAAACGTTATAACTAGAAAAGCTGGTGAAAGAATTTTTCAAATACATTTAAATGGATGGAAATATTACTTACGCTTTCCTGACAATATTCGTCGTACTTCAGAAAATATAGCTTTAGTCGTTTCTGTGGCCAAAAGCCGCCTAGAAGCAGTGGCATCCATTACATAAATAACACAGTGCATTTTGTCATTGAGGGTTGGATTCCTGCGATACTTATCATCACTCTCAGATATTGGTTCATCTGACTTCAACTGCAGATGAAAAAAGTAAACACTAGAATTCTAGTATAGAAAGAGATGGAAACTTTCAACAATTTTAAAACACAAATGTTAAAATCTCTGTTACGATGTATCCGGGTTTGATATGTCCATCAACAATCCTCAACACATCCTCGAGTCGTATAGAATCAATATCATGAATACCTCGACAGTCGTACACTGCAAGTTTCATGGATTTGTCCCTTGCATACAGATTGCAAATGTCAAGCTGAATTAATGAAAAAAGAAACGTTACATGTAAAATAAGAAGGAACAAAATATTTAAATTTAAAACAAAGAAAAACACGTTTTAGTTGACCCCATTATTAACTCAACAAATATGACATAAGATTTGTTCGATGATTGATATGAGTTAATTCTGTTCAAGATTTCTTGAAACGATATTACGTACATTTAAAATCTTAAATACTGGTTTTCAAAAAGAATGTAAAGAAAATCTTTTTTTGACATAAAAATCAAATGGAATAGAATATGAAGCCTAGTATAGATTTTTGCTTTAATTTGTTATCTTTGATATATTGTTAACCTGAAAATGTTAATGAACATTCAAATACTAGTATACACGGCTTTGGTGCTATCAAAACATCATTTTCTGGAACATCTACATTCAAATCTATGATCAAGAATTTTCTCAATTACGAAGTTAACAGTTCTATTTTCAATAATAGCATATTATATATACGATATGATGTTTTTATTTGGTTATTTGATTTTTACATGTACATTGTCACCAATAAGCCATCAGAAAAGTTCACCTTTTTAGTTGTTGTTCCCTCTCCCTCTTGATATACAGTAAATGGGGATTTAATTTCACCAGAGTCGGCGAGAGCAGTGGCAGCTGCGTTACAAAAAGATGTTTTACCGCTGGATATCTGGCCAATCAGTAAACAATTAATTTGTTTTACATCTCCTTCGATATTCATGTTAAGAATTGAACTCAGAAGCTTTTTCTTCTCCTATAAAGAATATTCAGAGAAACGTTAATCTAGTCGCAATAGTGTAGTCCTCTCCGATTTTTTATCTGATATGTTCTGGAGAGGGCTACAATTCCACAGAATTTCCATAATAGTGCAAATATTTTTTTTTTGAATACCGGCGACTGCAGGAAAAATAAACTGTTTTTACATTCAACTTACTTATAAAAAGGGGAAATGTTTATTCACTATCACCAACATAATCCCTTTAACGCGAAAACAAGATAAAATAAATCTGTTTGTTTACCAGTCTTTCTCATCAGAAGCCATAACAGTTCTCGAGTGATGCACTGAGAATTGAAAATTATAATTACTTATAATTAGTAAAGTAGATTTTCGGGGTAGCTAAATGTTTTTCTGTAGGGCATCACTAAACATTGATAAATAGAACTACTCCATGTGACTTTACCCCCTCAAAACAGCATTATTTATTTCTAAAATAAGGTCGCTCCGTGATCGTGAGGTCGTGTGTGCGAATCTCAGCTTCGACTGACCTGAGATAAAAAATCGGTAGCAACTTCCTTCGCCATGCGCTCGGCAATTTGAAGTGATAGTTGCGGGTCCTTCGGATGAGACCTTAAAAACCGATGCCCGTTGTCAGCGGCAGGCGTTGGCACGATAAAGATCCCTCACTGCTTAATGCCCCTGAATGCCCCTGAGTGCCGAGTAAATGTGAAAATTTGAAGCCTTTCACCGGCATATGAGTAGAAAATTTTCGAGAAGGACGTTAAACAATATACAATCAATCAATCCTAAAATAAGGTTATTCCTACACCGATCCGCACCCTAGAGATCCCTAGTCTCTAGGTCAGTTACCATATAATTCAAGTTGTGATGTTGACATACACGAAAAATAACCGATATATGGATATTTCTGTGTATATTTGGATTGATTTATGTTTTGCATGACTATATTTTTGGAGTTCAGGTAAGAAATATTAATCAAATAGCCATTTACTGATAATTTATGCCGAAATCCGTTCAGGAATGAACCACTCAACCACACAAAAAAGTAGGAAGAGAGCTACATTATTGCAGCTACGTATAATCAAACAAATATTTATAATAATTCATTTACAAAAGCTGTAAATTCATTCCTCATGATAAAATGTACCTGTAGTACATGAAAGTGACAAACTAAAGGATCGGTGCATTTAAGTTATGAGTGTAGGACCCGGTGCTTTGTGAAGAAAGAAAAAGAAGGATGAATAAGGCGCGCAGAATGTTTATGGATTTACGAGGGACGTTCTATAAATAATGTCATTAGCTCGATGGCATACAACATAGTAGTCATATGACATAAAGCTTGACTTTCTCTCATTATTGAATCTTTAATTAATTGATAACAATGTGTGTGACCACTTTTCATCGCATAATTTCATCGTGGGAAGGTGTAAAACAAGGGCTATTCGAGACACTGCATTAAAAGTGAATGGTCAAGAATCAGTAAACTAGAGTACAATTAAACGCTTTATCAAAGCAGCTGTAAAACATGTTAATATCCCAAAAATATATTAACTGAAATATGTGAAATTTACAGCAACCAATGCCTGTTTTATAGAAAGATGAACATGTAGATTTCAATACACAAATACTATATAATTGGCATCAAAATGGGTACTGTCCTTGGCAACAATGACTTACAACAACCGTTGTAAATTTATGTCATTTCAAGAAATTTTCACTGATTATGTTTTATTGACTTTAAGACACATAGCAAAATTGATAAAAATCATTTTGGGGATAGTTCATACTGTTTCAAAGATACATTTTATAGTAAAAACCTTTACTACTCTAAGGTCACCCTATATTTTGAAAAATGAGTGAAAACGACAGCGTGTAGGAATATCCAAACAATTATTCTAAAAAATCAAAATTTGTACTTATCCACGTTTGTATGAAATTCAAACAGATATTGAAACTTGAATCCATTTTGCTTTAAGCCCTCAATACAAATTTACAATAAGATGCACTTGACAAAACTGCAAAGGCCTAAGAAGAGCAAAGAATCGCAGGAGCATAAAACAGTTTTATATGCTATTTTCTGAAATATTAGCGGTCTTGTTCTTCAAATTCATATTCGAGAAGAAAGTTCAAATTTCTGGAGGTGCCTAGAGAACATTTTTTTGCAAAAAAATTGAAAGTTTATGAGAGAAAGGAAACAGAATGAGGAATTCACTACACGTACATTAAATGTCTTCTTGAAGGCGTCCAAACCCACAGGCCATGAAGAGTTAAGGGGTTTTGGGGATTAATGTTAATGTTTTGTCACAACAACAAAATTTGACGGATCATTCAACCTTTGATTTGTTTCATTTCCTAAACTTAGAAAAACATCTATCAGAAAGAAAAAAAAACAAGTACAGCAAATCATATTCCAGTATACGAAGGGTCACACTCAAAAACGTGTTCTAAAAACAATTAGAAATTGAATGAAAATGTTACGGATGCGATTTAATTGAAAGTGAATATTTTAGTTAAATCATTAAGACTTAGTCATAAAAAAGCGTTTTTTTTTTGTTTCTTTCCGAGCCCCAGTGACATTATTGGACGCCTCCTCGTAGATACTATTATTTAAAAGGTTATTTAATGTGTGAATTAAATACCAAAGTAAATTTCTCCTTATCGAAATTCAAGAAATTGTTAAAATCAAAAATGTTTTTTGAAAGAAAAAAATGAAAAAAAAAAACTTAAATTATAAAGATAATCTAGTTGTTGTTGATTCAAACCCTAAGAATAGAAATCCGGAGAATCATATTGTTTTGCGACTAGCATCCTAGCTATTTCGCTACACAGATAATAATGAATGGTTGCATTGAAATCATATTTGATGTATGATCCTCCCTTGACTCAATGGACTTTAAGATCCGAATGTTTTGTAATAAAATTGTACTTTTAGTTTGTCGTGCGTCTTTACTCCTTGTTTTTGTAAACGTAAATTAACCAACAACCATTTTATTTTGCCTCAAAAATGATGATCATATGACGATACCTTCCAAATTAATAAAATTGAGATTCCTCATTATTTTCAATGTTTCCTTTGAACATCTTTCAAATCCTTGATTCTCCTTGGCATAGATTTCACCAGTGTGTTTCCTTCAAATAAGGATATTACTTAAACTTTTTCATAAAGGCAGTCCTTAGTTTAAATAGATCAGCTTGGGTTTTTCGAACCCTATATCTTCCATTTAGTCCTAGAGATGTTCAAAGAGAAAAAAAAAACATAATCATTACGGAGGCCAGTCGTGTAGGTACATGTAAATATGATTGTTCGCGAGAAAATCTTGACAAATCCAAACCTTTATTTATACTGAGCCAGGGGTAAATACGCCGAAAAACTCATCTATAAAATGTATTAAATGTATTATTTCTGCAAATGTTAATAAAATATTATATCAACAATGATCATTTGTAATTATTTTGAAGTCTTTCATATATATAGCTCCGGTTCAGCTGATTAATGCAATAATCATTTACCAATTGTTATAAAAACATGTGCTTAATAAAAGTCATAGTTTTACCTCACAACAATATATTTTATGAGAAGTTCAAGCTACAGAAACATTTTAGTGTATTTTCATTATGCGTTTTCATTTGTATATAAACGAAGCCAAAAGTTTTCTAAATCAAGATTTAATTAGAACACTGATTTTTGGTATAGATGTTCTCAAACGATTTATAAATCCTTATTTATTACTTGTTTTCGACTCTCTCTCTCTCTCTCTCTCTCTCCATTTCAAGTGTTTGCTGTAGAACTGTAGCTCTCTGTTTTAAATAAAATTCGAACAGATAAAACAGAGACATGTACAGATCCAAGCGCTGTGAAAACCTTCGATTTATGCCGCTGCTTTTTTTGTCGCTCACTTCAAGTATTATTTCTCGTAGTATATGTTTTTCTATTTTTTCAAATGGTATCCGGTAATTAATCATATATTTTACTCCTGTAATTGATACTTTATTTACCTCTCAACGATCTAAAACAGTCTTTTGAGGATTTGAAATATCGGTGAAAAAGATTCCCATTTCAACGTCCGGAACCACAAATGATCTCTTAAAACGGTTAAAAGAAAAAAAAATCAGCAATCGGGGTTACATTTATGGTTAATTATTGTAAACTTTTAGTGCAATTCTCTGTTATCCTTGGACTTTCAGTATAGCATAACATTCTTGACGTTATATAATTATCGTCTGCAATACTCACAGCTATTCACTCACTCTTGAAATATATATGGGATATAAATTCGGGCGAATGTCAACGAGTGTAGCAAATATCCCTCAACAAAGATTTTTACAGTGAAAAGGTTGGGCTAAAGTTGTCTTACCGTTGTCAACAAAAATTTAAAGTTGCTGATGCTATTAATTTCTCAATCAATGACAATCTATTTGCCATTTGAGAGACGCTAAGTTCGTAGGACTGAGAATGCCACGCCTTACTGAGTCCAAAAATGACAGAGAATTGTACTCTTGTTTTTTAAAACTCGCGGTCAGATTGAAAATTTACCATTGAAAACGTTTTGACTTGAGATCTTTGTTTTAAGATTAAAATACCTCTCATTTTCCATAACCTTTTTCAGTTAAGTTTAAATGTAATGCAAAACCATTTTCTACCTTTTGATTCCATGGTCCAATCCCCCGCCAAGGGCCTTAAAAATATTGATGATTGCATATTAATGTCTCTTTGAAACGTATTGATTTCAAAAATATATTTAATTGACATTTTCATAAAAAGAATTATCACTCGATGACGACACAATGGCAATTAATCTGATACCAGAATTTATTCATACGAAAGATGAAGGGAATAAATATATTTTCCCAGAGCTATTTAACAGTTACTTGCAAATAGTCGTTTCAATCGTCCAAGGAAAGACTGCTCCGATTCTAATTCATCTGAAAAACAAAACTTGTTGAAATAAGTCAAAAGACATATGTTGAATTATTTTTTATTACGACAATAATTACCTGTTTGTCTTTAATGTTGACAATTGAACAACATAAAAAGGAATTTCCAGTTAACCTTTTCGCAGCACAACTAAGGCTTCAACAAGCAAATTCAAAGATGTCATTTTTATGACATATAGTGTCTAATATGAACACCCTATCATATATTATATATTTAGAAATTATCACTGAAGTTGATTTTAATCTAAAAAATAAGGTCAATCGTGTAGGTCAAGGGTTAAGAAATCATAGCATGCTCGGAAATATCTTGTCACAGGTAATGCATATGTCAAATATGAAAGGTCTATCTCTTCTCAATATAAGGAACAAGATGTGTTTGTGAAACACTGATGAACCCGTAAGGAAACATAACGAAGATTAAACTTTTCTTAAAATGCAAATGAAATATATTATAATCCAAAGTAGAATTTTCTCACCAGAAATACGATTGTGAAATACAAAATCCCTAGCACCACCTGTCTTAAATTTATGGTTAAGGGTAAATTTTTGAAAGGTGTGTCAAACTTCAAGGTGAAAGGGTCTGAGTTGTTAAGTAATACATATATGAAAGATGAAAACCCTAACCCAAACAGATCAATAGTTATGGCCAACGTAAAAATTTTTTGAAAAGTATGTCAAACTCCAAGGTCAAAGGGTCAAAGTTCTTGGTAACCAATGAAAGGTCTTCGCACAAGAATTACATATGTGAGGTATAAAGGCCTTAGCCCTTACCATTCAATAGTAATGATCAAGGTTAAAGTTTTTCATAAGTACGGAAATCTCCAAGGTCATGGTCAAAAGATCAAAGTTGTTGGTATCCAATAAAAGATCTAGCCATAAAGAATACATACGTGAAATATGAACTTCCTAGTTTCTACCATTCAAAAGATATGTCCAAAGTAAAATTTCAAAATTTTTGTATAAAAGTGGGTCAAACTCCAAGGTCAACGTCAAAAGTTCAAATTTGGTGATACCAATAGAAAGGTCTCGTCACAAGGAATACGCCAGTGAAATATGAAAGTCATAGCTCCAGTCAATCAAAAGTTATGGGCAAAGTTAAAGTTATTGTGGCGGATGGAAAGCTAGACAGCTAGAGAGACGGACAGACGAAAGAGATTTGTGACAAAAGCGGGAGACAAAAAGTATACTGGGCCTTATACAGGGTATATCCGCGAAAAATTTACTAGGACATCACACAAAACTACTTAAACTACAACAAAATAAAATTATTTGCTTATATAAACTATTGGATAGCTCTAGGCTACATCAAAACGTAGTATTACATAGCAATGATAAAAAAACACGCAGAATGTATATATAGGTTTGCAGAACTTTTCACAAAACAAGAAAATGTATAAATTTTTTTTAAAAATATTATATGTCCTGGCAACATTGGAGATTATAGATGACCTTAATACATTTAATTTGCCAAAATTATAATTATGTGACTCCGACATCACGTGACGCTTCTATATAAATGTCCTCAACATATTCATGTTGATCTGAACCACATAACATTTGTCTGATATTAGAAAAACCATAAAAAGAAAATTGTCTATCCTTGTAAAGAATGTATTTTATATTTGAAACAAGTAAACTTTTTTTCCATTTGTCACGTTAAGAGTACTGTGTTTTACAAAAAGCTTTAGATATTTAAACTGAGAAAACGCACTGCGGTCCTCTTGTAGCTTTCCTACAGAGATGCAGTCTACAAGTTCATGTAAGAAAGCATTTAATCACTGAATCTAGTTTTAATTAATTTTTTAAAAATTAAGAATATACAAAGACCACGCGTTCACAAGTAAATCATTAAAGAATATTAGATTTTAAATTTGATCTGAAATTTTAAATCCCTTTCTTTTATGTCATAAACTAGGCCTATAAACATGTACAAGAGATTCCGTTGGCCCAGTGGTAATCAAGACCATATGCTTTAGAGTGACCTATTTAGGATATTATTTTAATGTTGAATGTTTTGAATCTGACTGTTGGAATTGGAGATCAGTCTTTCGGTAGAGACCATATAAACCAAGGTCCTGTGTCGATGCTGGTTCATTCAGATCCCTCACTGCTTAAAAGCCCTGATTGCCAAGTATAGATTAACATTTGCTTGTCTCCACCGGCACAGCAAAACGTGGCGTGTCCACATGAGTGAAAAATTCGCGAAAGGGACGTTACCCCATTAACAAACAAGCAAAAACTAACCACCTACAGGAACATATTTTTCGTTATGACGTCATGTTGTCTGCATTCTGAATATTTTATGCAGCATATGTACCTTCATTTGATTTCATTATTCGAAAAAATATACACCAATTATCTAATTGTCTTATACATATCCAATCTACAAGTAAATCCCCTAAAAACTGGTATACTGTGTCGAAAACTTTACAGAATAATCTATTAAGAAATAAATAAAAATAAAAAGTTATACTGATGGATAAAAATTCTTTACCTTCTTTAGGAACAGTATTCCCCATGTTTCTTTAAACGCTGTAGAATATTCTATAATGATAAAAATTAGGTAAAAATAAAACAAAATTGCCACATTTGAGTACATTTTTTTTGCAATATAATCTGGTGTTACATATGTCTTTTTGCTACTTCAGAACAGGCTAAAATAGCATTTAGAGTTTGAAATTTCTAATCTGTCCTGATGAAAGAGTAAGGCATGAATATGCATACATTAATATGTTACAGTAAATATGTGAAATCAGGAATTTCATACATATATTTACTGTCCGTTTTAGGAAAAACATGTAATTAATGAATAGCAAGGAAATTCGTGTATTTACTGAAAATTCCAGCCAATTTTGCACGTTTTTACCGAACTAAGCTGGGTGAATATATAAACTCTTAAAAAGATTCAGTAAGTATACAAATAATAAAAAATGCTCGTTTTTAAAGCAGGATTTATAAGAATTGTTTCTTCAAAGTTGACGTTATACCATGATTTTGAATTCTGGAAAAGACTCAGTTCATTGCTTTTAAAGTATGTTGTGATATTGAAAACACATTCCAAAAAAAAAAAAAAAAAAAAAAATGAAAGCAGAGTATCATTATGTTTTTGTTTTGATTAATATTTGCAAATACATGTAACGCATTTTTAAATTGAAAAAAAAAAACCAAACAAACAAATAAAGGTTTATGTCAAATATTATTTATTCACTCATGATATGGGTACTAATATGAACATTGAATGAACTCTGATTATGTTCATATTTTTTTATTTTAATTTTTAATTATCTCACCAAAACACAGTCAGTAATATATACTAATCAAAATTTCTAAGTCCCCTCGCAAGTTTTTGTTTTACACAGCTTTTATATAAAATAATTCAGACAATATAAATTGAAAACTATACAGGATAAAAAGAAGCAAAATATTTTTTTTTTCACTTAATCTAATTATATTAAAGGAGTTTAACACAAAATGCAGAAGAGTGAAGGCACCCTAGAATTAAAAATTCGCAACGTTTAATACTGTTTTTATACTCCGTGCAAACGAATTAAGATCAAGACAATTGCTTCTCAAAGAGTTCACACAATTAAAGAAAAAATTCTATGGAAGGTTATTCCATGAATGGACTAGGTCGTCCTCTATATTTCCGCCAGATTCTGCTGCTGGAAAAGCACTTAATCTCTGGTCCATCTTGTCCCGTTCATGCTCTGTAGGGTTGAGATGTGAATGGCATTGAAGCTTACCCAAGTTGTTTGTGCCCAATATTAATCCTACAGTACATAAGGTCTTCTTAAACGCATTCCCCACTTTTCCAGTTTGTTTCTAATAATTTGGATAATCAAGACTTTAATTAATTTTTAATGAGTGCAGAGCAATTGCACGTGCAGATAGGTTCCTTCCACAATAGTTAGTAATTCTTCTGTAGTAGCCCTGTTGATGTGTCGTTGCAGTACGTGTATACGCCTTGACCATAGGCACTTCCGGTTCCGGTTTGAGTGAATTTCCGGTTAAACTCTAGGGTGGTTAAGTGGTATTTCTTGAAAATCTAGCATTTTTAATGATTATAAGGAATACAAGTAAGCTTTGTGCATCTTCCTGACGGTATTTTTAACGGTTTTACATAAAATAAACAAAAACAAACGAAGGAAATACAACTTTCCTTTACTACCACCAGCTTGGACCATGGCAACTTCACTTGCATACATACTTGCGTACATACACGGAATTTTAAACAAGCTTTTTTTTCTGTTTTTCATATACAACTTAAGATGGAGAACACATGGCAATTTAAATAAATGGAAGATACACCCGAAAACATATGAAACTCGCACTTCATGCTTGTTAACAAAACGGGTCATGGATGAGTAATTACACATTCGATTCCAATTTTTTTGGCCGTAACAGGCAATCATTAAAATATTAAGTCAAAACTGTGAACAACTAGTTAATTAATGTTAAGGTTTTTGAATACTTAAAATAATAAAAGTGGGGACTTAGAAATTTTGACAAGTATATATATGTAAAAAGTATTTAAAAGTTCAGTAAATACGTGTATTTCCTAACTGAAATCTATAACATATATACTTGTACACTTACAGTTAATATGCAAAATCAGGAGTTTCGTGTATTTCGTAAACCATTAAAAGTAAATAAAAGTATTTTTGGACGATCTGGGAAATACATGTAATCACTGCATAGCTAGGGAATTCATGTATTTACAGAACATTTCAACAATTGCTACACGCTTTTCTGAACTTAGGTTAAATACAAGCAATTAAAGTATGTACATGCACATACTGTAAAGATGACACACATATTTGGTTTACTTCGACTAATTAAGAACTGTAACAATTTTATGAGAAAGAGGTGAAGATAAAAAATGCAAATAGACTTACCGGACGTGTGAATTTCAGTACGACTTAAATGTTTCGATGTGTCACAATTAAATTAGGTAAGTCACCCCAAAGAAAAAAAGCGATTTGTAAAGGGGGATTTAAACCAATGATATTGCAGCATTTGCATTGTCATTATCTTTCGTTGTCGGCAAAGATCGTTTATTGCAAAGTTTTATGCGTTTTCATTACAACAAAGTAAGTACTATAACATTTATTTCGTTTTTGTAAACATTTAGATATAATATAATATGTAAAATATACCGTAATCATAAAATAATCTATTATGCAGAAGGTCAGATTTCTTAATTATCTTCTAAAGTATTTTGGAAATTATATGGAAGCTCGTGATTCTTAAGAAAGATGTGAATACCGGTATGACCTACTTCTTAAGTCCCATCGTGTTCTCATGAGCTTATCTTTTCACTGTATTAAGATTGTATTTTGTGCTTTTAGGTAATTCTGTATAAAGTACTTGGAGACTTTCAGGACCATTTCGAAAATTCGAAAATTGATAATTATGATTTTTACTAAAATAAAAGTGATGAAAATTTCAACACTTTATACATTCATTCCCCGTAATAATTCAAAAACTAGATTTTTTTATACCATATATGACTGCTCTATTACAGGAAAAAAATAGAACTCGTACATTTACGTACCTCATAATTGTTCATCCCAAAAGTATTTCGTTAGAATACAGTCTTATGCATGTACTACACTGTAGTTGATATTCAATAGATGTTTGAGTTTTTTACTAAAAATATTTAGATTGCATGGCCTTCGATTAGATTTTTCAACAATATGTAACATTTTACATGTGAACAAGTTGAGCCCTGTAATTAATAACTGACATGTTATTTTATTTGTATGATTGATTGATTGATTGCATGTTGTTTAACGTCCCTCTCGAGCATTTTTCACTCATTTGGAGACGCCGTCACTTTCCGGTGGAGGGCCGCAAATGATGTCCTATACTCGGTACTTAGGACCATTGAGCAGTGAGGGATATTTTTTGTGTCAGCACCTACTGCGCCACGGGACCTAGATTTATAGGTTTCATCCGAAGGACCGGTTCGCACGTCCAACAATAGAATTCGAACCCACGACGTAAGGATCAACTCCTGCAGACACTCTAACCACTGCGCCACAAGGGCAACTATTCATTTGAAGAATAATATTAAAAATATCGTCTACCTGATGTGAAAAAACGTGTTGTGAGCTTCAATTACATAAAGGTAAATACATGTTTTGTCGACGACGTTTCATGAAATATGTTTTTCATACCTACTTTTGATTGATGAATGCATACAGTTACCACATGTAAAAGGAGTTTATGTCTCCCAGTTGGATCAACACACTTAAACTAATCTAGGTATAAGGATTTTCTAAAACAACGTAAGCACTTGACAAATAAATCGGTGATACTCGAAAACTAAAATCAAACTAAAAAAAGATTGAACCGATATCATAACCTGGTTACCGTTCACGGTAGCTCAGTCGGTAGAGCGCTCGCTTCGTGATCGGGAGGTCGTGAGTTCGTATCACGGCCGCGACTGACCTAGTCGTTAAAATGGGTAGCAACTGTTCCTTCGCCATGCGTTCGGCACTTTGAAGTAAAAATTGCGGGTCCTTCGGATGAGACCTTAAAAAACAAGGCCACGTGTCAACGGCAGGGGTTGGCACGATAAAGAATCCTCACTGCTCAATGGCCCTGAGTGCCGAGTAAAGGTCAAAATTTGAAGCCCTTCACCGGCATACGGTGACGTCTCCATATGAGTGAAAAATTCTCGAGAGGAACGTTAAACAATATACAATCAATCAATCAATCAATCAATCAATCAATCAATCATAACCTTGTTATAAAATAGTATGTAATAGGCCGCTAAGTTTTTTTTTGTAAATAAAGATATCTGCGGTATTAAAAATAGGCATAACCTTCATATAACCCTGAATTGCATTAAAAACAAAGTTAAAAATGTTCCCAAATTACGATTGTTATGAAATGAACTGTTGAAGAGAAATAAGTTACTTGCGAGATTTTTAAAAAACTTTTTATGCATTGTTATAGTAAAATAAATTTTAGATAAATTGTGATAATCGCTTATTTGAAATGTTCCATTCATTTTTTAAAAGTTCCTATACTAAGTAATTGTGTTTGTGGCAAAAAAATGTATTTTTTACATAAAGATTTGTTCTGATTGTTGATTTTGCTGAGTAAGATTAACTTTAAATCCACTCTTAAAACGTTTGAATAATGACTTGCAGAGAATACCTGGTTTTATGCTTGAGGTGCAGGATGGGGAACGGCTCATTAAGTTGTAAGTTTAATTTTAAGGGTTTTGTTCATGTATGAGAGAGAGAGAGAGAGAGAGAGAGAGAGAGAGAGAGAGAGAGAGATTTTATAGTTTTTCTGATAGCAATTATTTTGACCTTTACTTGGTCATTCTTGCCTTACAATATTCAGCGAGAACAGGGATATTCCGTTTTAGGATCTTACCTGAAAGACATGCAATTTCACTACAACAGGACCAAACACAAGACAATGGAACAATTCTCCTAATGTTTTTAAGCAATAAATAAAACAGGGTAAAAAATAAAATGCTTTGTACATGTACAGGGAAACAGCTGCCCACATGTCTTTAAAATATAC